TCCGAAGGAGCAACCGCCGGACAGAATGCCAGCCCTGCTTCAGCGAAGCATCTCCAGAAAGCTCCATCGGCCAGCAATGCGGCTGCCACAACCGCCGGAGGCCATCGATACCGTTGGGACGCCCGTTGTGCAATCACCTATCACCCATGAGACACCGCCCAGCTTCCCAGCCACTGGGAGCGTGCAGCAAAGGGCGCAGCAGGAGACGTTGGCCACAAAAGATGCACCACGGCAGAGTGCCTACATTGATCCCAACGCCAATCGCAAAACTTCGGTCCTCAAGAAGGTAAGTTATGTTCAATCACAGAACATTCGTGCATTTTAAGAGGCAGACTGACAGATAGGGTTAATTCTTAAGGTGGGCAATGTGGCACCCACTCAGATGCTATCCGAACCACCTTTATTTCCGTGGAAACACGGACCGTCGTGCGCGGCAAGCGTAGGTGTGCTGTTTAGCTTTGTCAGTCACTGCACCCGAGCCTGGCTCCCATAATCCGCACCCTGTCTCTTACCCTAGACTCAGGGCTGTGGGGAAGGAGGTAGTGAGACAGAGGTTGCGCAAGTCTGCTCTCACTACAAACTAATTCACGCGCACGTCACGGTCTCACGCTTACCACTCTGTGAGACTTAGGGTACATATCTTAGTTCGCAACGGTTAAAGTGATGGTGCCTAATTTGTGTGAAACCAATTTTCTGAGCTGGTTCTGCTTTTGCGATTTTATCTGTAGAGTTAACCATGGTTGAATAAGCCCAAAACAAATGTTGGTTTGTTTGCTTGCTTGCTTACAACTGTCCGTTCCTTGACGTAGTTTGGTATTTTACATTTAAATTTCGAATGGTTAACTTCATCGGGGTTCGTCGCGTCCAAACCTTTAAATCTGAGTACCAATTGGTCAAAAAAGTTATGCTTTACTGAACAACCGCCTGGTGTAGACCTTCACTTATCTGAAGAGAAAGGAGCCTTCGATTGAATAGCTTTACTTTGGGTGAGAATATTCGGACCCCACTTGTGGCTGTTTAGCATCATAAACTAGCAGATCCGCTGCGCAGCCAGTATTACAACGGAGGGGGTTGCTGCTGCATGCGTCAGTTTGCGTCCGCACGCTTAGCTGGACCTGTACGTTGACCTGAAATGGCTGTCGGGTTGACCGTCGAAAGGAAATCATGCTGACCTCGCATTCGTGCCTGTCACTTCGGCCAACAGTTTTCAGTTTTCACTCCTGTCCTGCCGGGGGCAGCGTGCATCGCCACCCATGAATTCCGGCCCAACCTTACAGCCATTTGATACCTACACATCCTCAGCTGTAGTTGTTGTCCAGTTGCTCCAGAGTGGTTGCATTCTCCGCCACTACATGGTAGACAGTAGTTGATGGATGCCCTACTAAAAATAATGTTCTTAGACTTGAATCTCAAGCAAGTGAATAGACGACATTCCCAATATGCGCATCTTTCACAAGGTTTTTCTGCCCTTTGTGCACAGTTGAGGTTGGCATATCAATCGCTTCGGAATCCTGGCAGCGAGTAAATTACCCTCCTGGTCCCTTAAATCCCTTCGCTCTTGGTGTTACTTGACGCATCAGACACAATGACATAGCTTTTACATAGAATTTGAACAAATGCGATTCGTTTTTCTAATAGTACCTTAAAGCCCCAGTGCTCGTTTCGGCCAACACAGGGTCTCGTCTTTCACGTTAATATATAAAATAAGAGTTTTAATCGTTTAAGTTGTTGTATGCTTTTTATTACTGTATAAGGAATAAAAATATAACGTAAATGATCCCTCATTTTTGGTTTCGTAAGGCAATCTCTGTTTACGACATTTTTTCGAAAAAAGTTTATCCTGTGCGTAAATATTTGTCTGAAGCTAGTGTTTGAGCAGCTGGATACTTTCCAGCTTATCAACCTAGCGATAGCGCTAAAGAAACAGCCGGGTACTGTCAGAGCAGGCATAAGAGGAAACCAACGGGCATCTGAATTTCGCAAAAAGCTGCCTTATTAGTGTGAGTTTGAATGGTTTCTCATCTTCTTGCTCCCATGTCTTAGGCCTGTCCTCCACCTTAGGACGCGCAAACTTCTCTAATATCGCTTGATATCGGTCGTCGGCCACCTTATCTGCATTGCTATCTTCACCCTGAAAATGATCGCTTCTTTCAGCCTTTTTTATGTTGCACTGCAACCCAGCCACGACCTTAAGAGGGTGAAATTCATGTTTGTTCATGACCCTCACGTCCTCAATGTCCCGAAATCCAGTAATTTTTTTATCGACAGAGCCCTTGGGAAAAAATGGGATTCCCCACGAATGACGTGGAAAGGATGCGTGAATATTCTGCTTCGAAATATCAGAGTGGTGATTTTTGAAATTAAATTCAATTAATTCTAAGGTTTTACTCCATTTTGTATAGCAAATTTTTCGATAAAGAGATTGCTAAATTCTGGAACAAGAATTTAAAAAAATATCGGAAAGGTTGTTAAGCTTTATGAACCGATTTATAAACCCACTGTAGGCCGATTTGGCACTGATTAAAATATCTGAACAGGCACCCTTCAAAAATGACAGTGTGAATTACCTCAATAACATGTGCAGCAAGGGAATATTCTGAATAATAAAGACTGGAATGTTCATTTCTGGCTTACTTTTCAGTCATTTGATAGCCATGCCAACCTCCGGCCTTGACTGCTTATTGACTCAATTATTCCTTGCTGGTTGCTATACGACTGCTTTTGCGCTAGCTTGGAGTTCCCACAGAAACCACAAGCTCTGTTTCTTTCTGCAGTGCGGCCCAACTGGTGTCTGACATTCCGCATGTAGTGCTACACCAAGCTGTTGTTTAGTGCACTAAAAAATGCAAAGACGGATATATATATATATATCTGAACACTCTAGTCCCAGGTAGAAAAAATAAATCGCTAAGGCTTGCAGTTTTTTTGGATACTTAGCCTGTAGGAATGACAGTCAACCGGGGAGCAAGGTACGTTAACCAGTCATTGTTGCAAAAAGATAGGCATTGTCTAGTAGCGCGTGGTTGATGCATGCTTTTGCCTGTGAATTGCCTGTGAATTTAGCAAAAGCCGACTAATGTTCTCATATGAGGAGAAATAAACGCCTGGAGGACGGCCTATGTTATCCAGACGATAACGTCTTCGGCGCAAACCACTGCGTTCTGAAAATGGAAGAACTATATGAATTGTATATTATTCTGTATCACTACTGTCATACATCCCGGCAAAAATAATAGGGGCTTGCCCAAGTGCGTGGTTGATCGTTTCAATGGTGACTAATCTATATTCCTTCGAAGTTGCGTAATTATTCGGATATATTTCTCAACCTTTTTACTACCTCTTTTTTGATAGTTGTATACTTATGCCCTAATGTCTAACTCGCATTTTCCCTTTCCAACCATACAAACGGTAATAATTTCTAATTTATTTTTTGCCAAATATTTTAAAGTTACCGTAGACGTGATTCGATTCCATGCGCCCCAGCACTACCGTAAATGGTCAAGGTGCACTGCCTATCCGAATTCCGTCCCACGGAGTCGTTTAACTTTGTTCAACTTTTTTATCACTTGGAGAGGTCATATCCTTCGAATATATGCTGGCAGTTTCGTGCCTAGCTACGGTAGCAGGCTGTTGCCACAAAGTTGAATCAAAAGCAAAGCCACTGTGAAGCCGCCATTTTCCCCTCTAATCGCACGTAAATTTTCTTATATACACGTCGATCGGCCTACTTCATCCATTATAAACCGATTTGTATGCCTCTTTTGTTTAGTTGAAATACAATGAAGTCATGAGGGTACAAGGTCACAAGGCTAGCGCTGTTTTAAAAGCAGTCCAATTTGACCTATATTCGACAACTAGGACATTCATCCATGATGTCGAAAATTGCAGTCATTTGGGATTATGGATTACTTTTGATATCCCGGTGTTGTGAGTTTGTGCGCCTTATTTTATTATTTTAGAACGGCGGAAGTTTTTGCTGAAAATTTTGGAATCATATTTTCAAAATAAAGCATATCACTCTCTCTCTCATCGGCCACTCACTTCATCTAATATGAACAGTTTTACATAGTTCCCCAAGCCTCCAGAGTGTAATCCCGTGGAGGCCTAGGACATTAACGTAAATTGATAAAATTACTTATTCTTACGTCGGATAATCTGTATATCTTCATCCAGCAAGACGAATGTATAAGGAGGCAGAAATATTAAGACCAGATCGGGGACATCTTCAGATCGATACCCGGCGATAATCTTATATCCCAATCTGTGGAGATATCCAAACGCGGAATTGATACTCATATGCTGTAGCACAATGTGAACTATGTAACTAAGCTTAAAACACCAATGCACGATGGGACACTGTCTAAATTCCTCTGACTGTAATTTCTTTCCATTTTTTTCTAATTCTTCAGATTTTGATGTGACAAATAGGGAGTTCAAAGCCATAAGCCTATTTTCCCCGCCAAATACACCGACTGACTGAAAACAATAGACGAAGGTCATTTTTGGCAAACTCGACCCCTTCTTCTTAAAATGCGTTTATTGTTGTTGCTAAATTTCTAAATTTTAGGCAGATAGTATTGCCGGCAAAACACAAAGACAGTCTCCATTGTCTTTGCCAGCAATACTATCTGCCTAAGACGACTAGCCGCTATGGCTGTTGTCAGGGCCCGAGAAATGAGGCCCAAGGCAGAGCGGAACAAGTGAGTTCCGTTAGCGGCCGGTGATCGTTCATCAACGAGTGTCATTTTTGCACTTCACTTTCTAAAACCTTCCTAAGATGCTTTAAAAAAATTCTCGCCAATGCCCTTCTTACATGCACGTTCTATAGCCTACGCAATAATGAAACAAGGATTTTGACTGAACCTTTGTAGTTTGTCGGCAAGTTGGCCAAAACCGCCTATTTTCAGACATAGGCTAATTGCACTTTAGCGCTAGGTTGAGGTCTTAAGAAGTATCGAGGCCTCAATGTCGGCTTCCCAGACATCCTCCCTTCAAATGAAAGAGCAAGCTGTCTTACAATTTGAAAGAGGCATAATGTCTGGTTTGCATGACAGCCTTCCACCTACTTTTCTAATATTGCTGCTGCTATGGATTGTTTTATTAATGAGTAAAACGTGACAATCAGTAGGCATCAAGCGCGGAAAATAAACAAATGTAAAACACCATCAACTGGATGCTATTCCTTTTCCCTTCGCTCCTCCTCTCTCCCCAAAGGTACGCCTCGCGATCCTCATGCATCCCTCGGCAACCTCCAACAAAGCAATGCAGTCATGTTCGTGCGTGCGACTGGCGAGGAAGTCTCTGACTGACTCCGATGAGGAAAGAGATTCACCCTCCTCTACTCCGCTTTCCGTCGACTGTAGTTTGGATCTCACCAGCACAAGCAGGAGCAGCACATTTGCCAGCGACTTTAGTGATGAGGAGGCCACTCGAATAGAGTCTCTCCTCACTGACAGGGAGTCGGACGACCCTAATACTTCGCGCAGTGACATGGATCCCAAACCTCTCACCGAGGGGGAGAAGGAGAACGACGGACTGCTTGAAATGGCAAAGGGGAAGAGCATGGTAGGTGAAGAAGAGGAGGAGGAGGAGGAGGAGGAGGAGGAGGA